ATATATACATGTGTAAATGTTTGGATGAGTTTATGTCATCGATAGATAATATTAGTTTCCATCCACACATGAAATATATATATATATATACGTGTGTAAATGTTTGGATGAGTTTATGTCATCGATAGGCAATATTAGTTTCCATCCACACATGAAATATAAATATATATATACGTGTGTAAATTTTTGGACGAGTTTATGTCATCGATAGGCAATATTAGTTTCCATCCACACATGAAATATATATATACGTGTGTAAATTTTTGGACGAGTTTATGTCATCGATAGGTAATATTAGTTTCCATCCACACATGAAATATATGTATATATATATACGTGTGTAAATGTTTGGATGAGTTTATGTCATCGATAGGTAATATTAGTTTCCATCCACACATGAAATTATAGAACAGATGGTTGGTGGAGAAAAAGCTAATGACAAAGAACTAAAAGAAAGAAGAGTAAAGAAAAGAAATTATGCTGAAAAAAAGATTAAGTGTATGAAAGGTTGGTGTTTTTCATAGTTTCTCGTCAGTAAAAGATGTATATTATGTGACAGTTTTGGTTTAAAAGTTGTGATTGTTGACATTGTTATTTATTCTAAATTCAAGGTTATACTCTCAAATTGTAATGTGTAGTTTATTTGGAATCACAATCATTTTAAGTTTTGAATAAATTAAATGACATCACCGAGTAAAAGTGATTAGTACACCCTTGTTCTGATTTTAGACACAAGTTGATTAAGTTGTAACTCTGTTTTCTTAAAGTTTGCCAATTTTATCGTAATATTAATATGGTAGATCTTTAGGATATTCATTTGTACTGTTAACACAACTTATACTACGTAAGCAGTTTTAAATAAACTAGACAACTAATTATTGAATAGTACTAAACATTGTGTCCTAATCTGGACACAGATTGGTTAAATTACATGTTTTATATTACTTTTTTTTTCAATATTTTATAATTTTCATTTGCACCTTATTCTTGTTGACATAGGTGTGTTAACAAGTCTAGGGTTTGAAATTTGATGCAGGCCAAGTGTGGTTCAGTGGTTAACATGCCAGACTGTGGGGTGAGGTTTCTTATCACCAAAAAATTAATAATAATTACACTCCACATTTTGTGGCTATGAATGTGTTATAAAAGTAACTGTCAAATCCCACTACTTGATCTGACAAGAGTTTATATTGGGAGGTGTTGAATAGCTGCCTTCCCTCTAGTCTATCAATTCACAATTATGGATGGCTAGCACAGATAACCATCATGTAGGTTTGTGCCAAATCAAACAGAACAAAAAAATGGACAAGGCATGATGCCACTGAACACAGCCTCCACTTTCAATTCTGGGTGCATTATAGAAGAGGCAGTGAAAGTTTATGGTAGTGGGTGCTACCAGCTGGCTAATGGCTATATCCGTGTACTATTCAGATTGAAAATTATAATTCCATAAATTAGCATATCAACATGTTCGGATACATGTACTTGTAGGAGGTTGTGTAAAATAAAGCTTTCCAAACATTAACAACAGATTTTTTTATTAGCATTCATGGAACATGTTGCGTTTTAAGTCATAAAGTCCAAAACCTTACAGTAGTTATGAATTTTTTCAAGGTCAGTGTTTACATGTTGTACTAAAAGTCATGTTAATATATTTACCAGCACTTCAGTTAAACATAGGAAAGTTTATTATTGGTGTCGTTCCCTAAGGTCGTGTTAATATATTTACCAGCACTTCAGTTAAACATAGGAAAGTTTATTATTGGTATCGTTCCCTAAGAAAAGTCATGTTAATATATTTACCAGCACTTCAGTTAAACATAGGAAAGTTTATTATTGGTATCGTTCCCTAAGAAAAGTCATGTTAATATATTTACCAGCACTTCAGTTAAACATAGGAAAGTTTATTATTGGTATCGTTTCCAAAATGTCGTGTTAATATATTTACCAGCACTTCAGTTAAACATAGGAAAGTTTATTATTGGTATCGTTCCCTAAGAAAAGTCATGTTAATATATTTACCAGCACTTCAGTTAAACATAGGAAAGTTTATTATTGGTATCGTTCCCTAAGTGTCGTGTATTTGTCTTTCAATTATAAACAAGTAAGAAAAGAAAAAAGTCCTTATTACAGCAATTTCTGTGGTGGCTAATGTTAGAGCCGATTATATAAAACTTTTATGGGGGTAGGAATTCATTATTTTTCAGTACGTAAAGACTATTGCTAATTTTTATCATTTCCCCCAAAATATTAATGTGTTATGTTTGCCTTCCTACCATTAAACCATATTTTATTTTACTGTTTACATGTACGTACTGGGGCAAAAGTTACTATACACACCTGGTGTATAAAGTCTAGAGATGGGTAGTGAAGAAAGATTTATTAGAAACACCAACAAATGCATAATAAAAGAAGCAATCTTTATTAAACCAACACCCTGGGGTACCAAGATACCTCTACTGATGTGTCATGTGATGTGTCATGTGACCCCTTTGTTCCATACTGTATATATGTATATAAAATAATCTATGGTTTCAGGTTACATGAGTTACAAGTAGCACAGTTACACTAGTTTTAACAGATGGGAACTGTGAATATAACCGTGAAACAAGAAGTTAGTAAAAGGAACCAGAAAGTAAAAGAAAGAGTATTTTATAAACGAATCACAGAAATCACAACACTTACAAACGTACTCTTTGATTATTTATAACATACGACACTTTTAACATTGTTTTAAGTAGTAACCAATGTGTTATCAAGTGTCTGAAATATCAGGTTCAGTTCTCTTTATACTTTCATTAGCTACCAGGTCATGTAATCACAGTTCAGTACAGGATGATTATTGGCTATTCACTATTTTGTAGTTCCTGCGTGTAGAGCGTCCCACTACTTCTGTGATGAGCTGTAACTGACAAACTAGTTCTGATTTTATAGTTGTATATCTCTTTGGTTCATAAACATACAGTATCTACGATCACTGTCTAAGTATAAAATGGAAGATATTAAGATCTTAATTAATATCTCCTTCGTAGGTAATACATTAACTTTTTTTTTTTATTCGTGACACCTTTAGCATAAATTTTTTTATCAAATATGATTTTTGTTGTGAGGAGAGGAAATCCACTGTACACTTTAAATAAAGGTCCAGAGAAATGGAAACAGTTACCTGATGATGACCACAGGAGCGGTCGAAAAATTGTAAAAAAGATAAATCAAAATAAACAATCCACTGAAAAGCTGTATCTTTGGACCTTTTATTCAAAATATGATATTGTCTTTATTGTTCAATATAAATGTATTGTCAACACTTAATATAATAAT